GGTTAGACTCAATCAGGGTCGTTAGATGTTGGGAATTTTTTAAAATTTTTAATTATTTTGAGCCTTCTTATGAAATGATGCATTGAATTGCTTAGGCTACACAATTCTCCTTGGCCTATTGGTTGAGAGCTTTGACTTCCAACTAAGAGGTTCAGGGTTCGAGTCTATGTGTATGCGTTGAGTGTGTGTGTTTGCCTTAAATGGCCTAAATGTCCAAAAAAAAAAAAAAGCTTAGGCTATTGCATGACAGATTGACGGCAGAGAACACGTCATCAAATTAATATTGAAAATTTTGATTTAGGATCTCTTTCGGGAGAAATTATTACACGGTCGTCAAGGGAGATCAATTTTTTTTTTCAGGGTGGACAAAAAAAAATTTCAGGATGGACAAAATTTTTTTTTTTGTGGGGATGAACAAAAACCTTAGTATTGATAAAATTAGGGCAAATTTTTTTTTAAGAGGAGAGAAAATACCCAAAATACTCTAAAATAAAAAAAAAAATTTTTTGAGGGTGGACATTTGCCCCACATCAATCCAATGGGGATCCGCCCTTGACGGTTGCTGAACTTTAAAGGCCAACAGAACGTGCCACATCACCCAATACACAATTGTGTGTTAATGATGTGGCACATTCTGATTGGCCTTTGGACGTTGTTCAACATTCGCACATAATAATTTCTCCTCTTTTCAACCTTTTTTTTAATTGTTTTGCTTTCATAATTACGTCATCAAAAAATTTTGTACTAGAAAATTATTTTATTACATAAATTTTTAAATAATTTACAACACAATAAGGCTTCTTTTGGGACAACTTTTTTTTGGGACATTTAGGCCATTTAAGGCAAACTCACACATACAACGCATACACAGAGACTCGAACCTTAGACCTCTTAGTTGGAAGCCTTAGCTCTCAACCAATAGGCCAAGGAGAGTTGTGTTCTTTTGGGACAACTTGTTTTAGTGCTTCTTAAAGCAATTTTTTAAAACAAATTTTTAATATTTGTACTAAAAAGTTGCTATAAGAAACCATAAAAAAGACGTCACAAACGAACCCTATGTCATCTTTACGAGCAATTATTAGGTCCTTTCACTGGATGTAGAGGAAGGTTCGGTTTTAGGCAAAAATAGGTCAAAAAGTGCAAATACCGAGTTTTTCAAAAAACTCGGTATTTTTTCAAAAAACTCGGTATTTGCACTTTTTTAGGCAAAACCGAACCTTCCTCTAGGTCCTTGCACCGGACCAAATAAAAATCCCATCTTTACGGTGATGACAATGAAACCAAATAATGTTAAACTTTCAGCACTTAAATATGTTAGATTGATAGAATTGGTCAGTTCTAAGGCTAATTGTTAGAGAATAAAAGCTAACAATTAATTAAAGGGTAATCAAGGTGATAATATTATTGTGTCTTTTAAGTTTATTAGGTTAGTATGTGTCACTTTGCCTATAAATACACATGCCGAGAATTAGATTAAGTTGCGAGAAAGAAAATGTGAAACCTCTCTTTTTGGAGCTTAGACTCTCTCCCCTTCTTCCCATTCGTTCTACCAAAAGTTTTTGGCATCCTATAATGTTGAAATTTTTATTGGGTGTGGAGTGCGGACGTAGCTCTATGTATGCAAATATGTAGCTGAACGCCACGTGGAGCTCACCTTGACCCCACAGATCTATTTACCTCGTGTGCTTTTTTAGAGTGCGGCCCGACGACCCGAACTGCCTGAAAAATTGAAAAAAAAAAAAAAAAACGCTTGCACTCCCGATGACCCATTCCCCGAAACGTTTCTTCCAGTTTTACTTATTCGGGCGTTTCATCCACAAGGAGAAGTTGCAGATGATTATTCATCTTCTACACTAAGCTATTACACGAAGCCACTTCATCTTCAGTCTTCATCTTCTACATGGCGAATGTATGTTTTTTCTATAGTCATATATATTTATCACGTTTTAGGGTTATAGGGTTGGATTGGATAGTAGTTTTTGTAATGGGTAGTCGGTATTGGTTTGTAGCTATCCGTCTTGCTCTATATGTTGTGTGGGTACCGCTGGGTACCCCGTCTGGGTACACTAAGTACCACTCCTTATATTGTTTGTTTCGGAATGCTTTGTAAGTTCCATTAGTTATTCTATTTCTAGAGTTTGTCGTTATGATTTTTTTTTTCTGTTGAGAGGAAACTGTTTTGTATGTATACCACTTTGTTCCTTCTGTTGAGAGGAAGCCCTTCTCAACCTTTTACCAAGAACTTTAAGCAAGCTTATTTTGCCTACTTATCAATATATTAGCAATTTTACTACATTTTTGTACGCACTTGTTATCATAAAAAATATGTCAAAATCTGCAAATCACGAGTTATGTCCATTTCAATGTTATTAAATTAAAATTTATTTGAGATCTTATAAGCAAGTACTGGAAGTTATTGATTCCTATGTGGATTGCTCATGTGGCTTGTTGGTTGAGGGAAGAAATTCATTAAATTAAAATTTCTATGATGAAAAATAGTTTTAACAAGAATAAATATTACAATGCCTTTAATAAAATTAATATTCGAATTTCACAAAAAAAAAAAAAGTCTATAATACCACAAAATTAGAATGATAGGTTTCAAAAAATATTATTTTTCCCATAATAAGTCTACAATAAATTTCACATCTAATTGTTGTCCAACCAAATTGACCATCAAAGATTTACAAAATTTCTTATGATTAGAAATTTAGAATAATATTTTGCTATGATTTCCAATTAGGCTTCCTTGATGAGTTCACCCATTATGGTCTTTGGAGAGAATTTTGATATAGTTTCCTCTTCTACAATACTTCATATATTATTCATAACACGCATCATTTTAATGAAAAAAAAAAAGCTTTCATTGCTTGTTAAAATTTGTGTTGTTAGTTTTTTCTATTGATTTGTGAATTAAACACAACTAAGATTTTCTAGTTCTATCATATCTCTCTCCCTCTCTAAAGTTTTTCTTCTACATTCCTATCACCTTCGATGTCAAAGCCATAAAGTACTTCAACCCTCACAAAACATCAGGTTTGTATAGGCAACTACTACTACATGTAAAGTTACTGTAAGACTAATGTCACGAAAGTATATTTTTAAAAAACAGTTGCGAGTATTATAATTTTTTTTTTTGTGAAAGCCAGACAACGACATTTTAATAGCTTCAACACTCCAGTTGACTTAGTTATATAAAACTATTTCTTTTTACAAAAAAATATAAAATTCAAAAATTAATGTTGCGATTTTGGTTGCATCTGAAAATCAAAATAATAATAAAAAAATTGACCCAAACATATAACCCCTTCACAAAACTCTAGCTCATGTTATCCATCTATTATGACCAATCCATATATCCATTTCATAACTTTCCATATCTATATTCAATTAATCTAAAACTGCCATCATTGATTAATCCCAAATCTGACATATGAAGATTCTCATCATTTTACATCAAAGAAAATTATGTCATCTATTGCAAGAATGTTTTGATAAAAGATTATCCAAAAACTCTTAAACTAATCACTACTTTTCTTAGCTTCTACAAACTCTAAGCCTTCCAACACTCCTTCAAAACCCTCTAAACGACCTCCACATCAAAAATCTTCATATGCTATGCATAATTGATAAACTTTATATTTATGATGCAAGTTTGACCGATTAATTATTATGTGCAGATGTCGAACGCCGTCTGGAGACTAATCAGAATGGGCCACGTCACCTCTTCGCTTGATACCGCTGACGTGGTTGGTGCATTCTGGTTGGTCTCTGAATGATGTTATGCGTCCAAAGTCCTCACAGAATAATTTCTCAATTTGAATGAAGTTGTTTTATTATCATCATTGTATCATTAAAGTATTCCAAGTGAGTAATTAATCACGTTAGGTCCACACATATAAATTCAATCGTAAATACATTTGATATTTTGATTTAATAATAATAAAATGAGCAATATTTATTTTTTAGTGGTCTCTCATAAGAGATTAGTCCAAGTTTTATAAGATTTACGTGTTACAAAATGCTCGGACCCTCGATGTTTTGAGGGCTTACAAAATTTAAAAATACATTATTGATACGCCATGTAAAAATTATCTTGATCGGACGCGAATCTCGAGAGAAAAAGCTAGTTGGAAACTTTAAAATTTAATTTCGGGAGCATCCGAACTCCGATTTCAGCAAGCTTATAGTCGAACTGAGCGTCTCGGAAATACGAACTCAACGACACCAAGATCAACCCAATCCGAGCCCAAATGGGTCCAAATCATGGATCCAAAGCGCTGTTGGAAGGTTCAAACCGCAATTTGAGTTACCAAACGGACTCCGATTTTGACGATCTTATACTCGAATCGAAGGGCTCGACGAGACGAATCCAACGAGCCCAAGATCACAGAATTCTGACATCACTAAGGCCTTCAAATGTCCAATTAACGGTGCACGATCGTAGGATTCAATATCGGCCGTCCATTTGACCACTCCCTATTCGCCCCTAATCTCACACCTATTTACGGGCCATGCCACTCTAGAAAATCTATAAATAGAGCCCTCATTTCTCACAAGAGAGGATCCAAGCAAGAGAGAGAAGAAGAGAAGAGAAGGAAGGAGTTCCTCCTCGACAGCCGCCGGACCACCGCCGGACAACAAATAGTAAAGAAAATTCATTATTTTATCTATTAATTTGAATTCCAAAAATATCCTTATAATAAAAATTTGTTCCAGGGGTGCTACCCCCTTAGACTCTAAATATCAAGTTTCCTTATTATTTAGAGGCCTTAGTTAATTTTAATAGCTAAAAAAATATCTTTAGTGACCGTTTTCTTTGTCTCTATTTTTTCTGTTGTTATTGACCCATTTTCTTATGGTAAATGATCGAGCCACATTCGAAGCAACACTAATATTTACTTATAAGTTTGCTCCCCTAAAAATTAAGGCTGGTTCTGCTCCTGCTCATAAGTAGAGCAAAATTGAAGGTTTAAGAAAATATGTCATCCATAAAAATATAATAAACTGGTAGATATATAATTTGAAAAAGAAACATTGAACAAAGAAATACAATATCTGACACACAGAATTATTTCACGACTTTCTTCTAATAATCGCATAAGCCCTAAATGAACCGTCAGCAAATTTGAACATGAACACTATACAATCAAATTTCCCCCCTTTTTTTTAGCTACTATAATACTCAACACTCTCACTAAATACAGTCGTGAAGTAGAGCAAATTATCTACAATACGCTCCAAAAACAAATCCAAAAATATTGGGTTATAAGCTTGATCAGAGAACAAAGTCAGCTTCGATTAAGGGCAAATTATTACGTCCGGTGTCCGGATTCATCCGGACATCAATCCAGACGCGCCACGTCACCAAAATACATTGGGTCCCAATGTATTTGGATGACGCGACGCATCTGGATTGGATGTCCGGACGTCTGGTGACCGGACGTAATAACTCGACTCGATTAAGGGCTATTGAAATATTATTATGCCCCAGCTACTTTTACTTCACCAGAAGCAACTTCAATTTGTCCAGCCTTTGTTACTGGATCTACTCAACTGGAACACGGGATGACTGTAAAGCTTTCTAAGATTAAATCTATTCAATAAACCTTCTGCATCGCCATTAGCATTTCTGCACTTAGATCCATTTTTCATAACATCTAAATCGCTTATAGTGGGAGAACACCTTATAGAAATGAATTCGGCGTCTTCAACTTCACTTCTCCTTTCAAAGCTCCTGAAACTCTCATTGGCATCACTGTCTGAACCATCTTCTATGCTGAGTAAGTTGCCAAAAGAGTTGACGTTGGAGGCACCAAAGCTAGAAGTTACTCCATCAACATCCATGAAGGTATTCTCTGCAACTTTAGAGAAATCACAGCAACGCAGTTGCTTGGCCTCTGTTCTTTCACGGAGAGTTTTTATGATTAGTGTCTTGAGAAAGTTCATAACTTGAACCGCATGTATCAATGCGGTCAAAGGATCAGCCATCTAGGAAAAGGTCAAGTAGAAGATCATAAATTTTTGTAAGATTTTAAGAAAATGTAAAAGATTTCTACAGGAAATCAGCATAAAATCTGCAACCTGAGTCATGTTGGGAGCAAAAACCAAGGCTATATTTCTAGCGTTCATCTTATTGTAGTGTTCGTGCTCCACAATATCTGCCATCAAATTAATGGCCCAGTCAAGCAAAGCAGCTTCTGTGGGTGGCAGCACCTTTACAAGTTGATAGCAATCTTCCTCTGTGTTGCAATGCATCACCTGTTCTGGTGTAAGAGAGTCAAGAACTCCACTGGGTAGTTCTCTAAACCAAGCCTACCGTTTGAAAAAAAAAAAAATCCAGTCAGTTGCTTCAGAATGAGAGGAGCATCTAGTCGATGTTAGTACTAAACAATTCAATGAAAGCGCTATTAAGTCCAACACTGAGAAATTAAGGCTTCATTTGGGACGGCTTTCTTATTGCTTCTTAAAGCAACTTTATAGTTTAAAAATTAAAATTTTTATACTAGAAAGCTGTTTTAACAATAAAAAAGCCGTCCCAAACGAAGTCTAAATCTTAAAAAATACAAGTTAATAGAAGATTCTCATAAGCTATAACTAAAAAATGTGAAATAATTATTTTTATCAACCTTAATTTAAAGCGTCATGACAGCAAAGCACAAGAACCCAAATGCTGAAGTCCTACACCTTAAGCCAGAAGCCATCCACATATAACTCATGATTTACCCAGTTTATATGATTTTCAACCTCCTAAACTGAATTCAACGGACTCTCAATGAGAACAATATTTAATCATTATTATAAATTATAGAATATAATCTCGTAACATGCTATCAACTAGCGCCTAGCTCGCACAATCAAATGATTCTCAGAGCAGTTCTTTTCCTCTCTTACCAAACACTGTTGATTCTAGAATAATTATTAACAGAATAACTTTAATATCTTAAAATCCAGGAAAATTATATTTTATATTAGCAGTTAAAGTACTGTTATGTAAAGCTTAGCATTTATACTAACTAAATAACTAATAAGTTCAATTTAATTAAAATTTTCCCCACCTCCGAATAGATGCATTCATTGGCTGTGAAGAAGGTAGAGTAGCAGTTATTATTATGTGGGGCCTTTATTTCGGTTGGTTTTCACGCATGCATTCGAATAGAGGAAGAGTTGAGAGGCTGCATTTGCGAGTTTGACTGTGAAGGAACGGCTGTAGGAGCAGAGAATTGGGATCAGATGAGAACAGATTTTTTGGATCGGCATCAGCATAAATGGTAGGAGGCGGATGAGTACTGGAGGCAGCGAGGAAATTCTGTGAGAACCTGCGGCTGTGAGAGAGAGAAGGGATTGGTTCTCGGTGGAGTTAGATGCTATTAAATCAGTGTCTTCGGGGGGAGAGAGAGAGAGAGAGAGAGAGAGAGAGAGAGAGAGAAGATGATTTTTGTCATCTTGGGAAAAAGACCATTCTTCCATTTAGATTTTAAGTATATGACTTTCAAATGTAAGATCAAAACTATCAATTCTTTGAACATCATTAAAATTGGAGGAATACACAATTTTGAAACTTTTAAGGCCATTTGAACGTCAACCATGTGTATTAAACACATCAAAATTTTCTCAATGTATGGTTTAGATTGCATAAGAAGATAGTTGTGATTTTCATTGTCTGGGATCTTTGAAATAGCCTAGAATTAAATACATGGCATATTGATAACATTCAAAGGATATTTGATAATTTTAATTCGTAAAACAAATGATAAAATTACTTTTTAGTGGTAATCTATATGTTATCCACTCATTCTTCTTTTCATAAGCTGAATGAATAGTTAAAATTACTATGAAAATTTATAAAAATCAGCCTATAAGAAATACTATTTTCATAAATGAAAATAAATTGTGTTTTATTGATCAAATTACTATGAAAATGATAAAAATCAGCATATAAGAAATATTATTTTCATAAATGAAAATAAATTGTGTTTTATTGATCTTGCCAATTGTATAACACAAAATGTACACAAAGACAAATGTAGGAAAACAACCATCTCAACCTAGGATGAGAAAATGTCTCAGATATATTATATACATCTATATATTTAGCTATAAATGTTATACTTGTGATTGGATATAAATATATATATAGACAAACACAGATAGGGAGAGAGCAAATACAACGCATTACATATTAAAATAAAAAAAGGGAACAAATTGCAGTTTATTTTTTTTCAAGATGCATGAAAAATAATTAGTAAATCATATGGAATGCCCAAAATTTAAAATAAACAAAATGCTTATTTAAGAATTACTAAGTCTTACTCTTTTTCGTCTTAGGGTTCGTGCATAACAACGTGTATCATAAAAGCCTAGATCAGGCCTAAACCAATCCGCAGAACAGTAATATCAAGTGAAAGTTCCATGTTCTATTTCGAAGTTATGAATTTCCTACAATAGGGATTATGGATCGATATGATGATTGCTTTAGGTAGGGTATTGACCTGCTATGGATAGTTATAAAATTCATTCGTGACACCATGATCCAAACAAAAATGTGACTCACTCTTGACTAGGAAATGGAGAAGGGAACATGGCATGTCCCAAAAGAGAGGCATGGGGAGAATTTCCTTCAAAGGATGACTCTAAAATCAAGCTTTGGACATGAGGCCTTATGGAGAAGCCGATTCAATTTTAGGCTACCAAACGTAACAACTAATGAGAAGTACCAGGAATTATGCAGGATGTCATACTGCTTGCTTTTCATATATATTTTTCTTTTTTATTTAGGGAGAAAAACACCTGAAAGAATTTCCAAACTATCTCTAAGAAGGAAGGGTGACAAATTAAAAATAAGGAATTCTACATCATCCGACATATAGAGTGTCTCATTTCATGTTTGTGCAAACCAAACACATCAAATAATACAATTTTGTGTGTTTTGTTTTATAATTCAAAATTTTGGGAAATTTAAGGTATTCATTTGAAAAGAAGAATTGTTAACTGCTGTTAGGTCTCAATTATTTTAAATTTAGCATGCCCAAGTACTCTCTTCAAGTATGGAGTGATTACATAAATAACCCCCACACTGCCTCGCATTCTATTTATACCCACACAACAGATCTAACTAAGACTGCTTCAGATGCTCAAAACAAGAACCCTCTTTTGAATACAAATTTTTGGAAATTTGGCACACCTTCTACCATGAAGTCATAAGCCCGCCCTCTTTTATTTAGAAGGTTGGACCATCAGTTGTTAGTGTTAAGACAATCAGGAAATAAAGCTAACTGCATCAAAGAAAATAACAATTCATAGTCCAAATCTTGAATCTGATTCAAGATAGAGACAATTCGAGATTGTGTTGGAAACTTCAAACCCTGTTGCACTTAAACTATTACTGAGTCCTTTAAGAATGGAATTAATATCTATGGGCTATCATTCAATATCTCATTGAGACGTCACAATTGTCATACTTATAAGCTACAACAATATAGCTATTAACAAGTTAAAAGTTCAAATCCTACTTGAAAAGATTTGATTCATTATTCATTTTTTCATAAAGAATTGAATAAAAGGGCTAGCTTTGACATTAGGAGCATGTAGCTGGTTTCGGTAGTTCAAACAAAATCTTCTTGAAGACAATTTGAGACACTTTATGTGACTTGGTGCATTTAAAAAAAAAAAAGAAATTTCATTAATTCTAGCTAAAACATATTTGAAAATAAGTTATCCCATAGAGGAGAACCACAAACTTGATTTCAATGCATCAATTACTCTCAGCTCAATCTGATTAAACTTGAATCTAGCCAAGACGCTCTCATAAGTCAGATAAAAAGATGCCTATGAAGCAAAAACACAAACAAAAAAATATAAACACGATGTGACATTGACACAACAACATGACATAACTAAAAAAGGACATGACATATCATAAACACAATATTTTCTTGAAGACAATATTTTTATATTATACTTTGTTAATATAAAATACATATAATTAAAACACTTAATATTAATATTTTTTATTAATTATTATACAATAATAAAATGATTAATGACATTTTTGGACTATGAATTATTTTTTTTAATATTTAGAATAATTTCTTATTTTTTGCACCAGCAAAAAAAATAATAAGGTTCCATACCGTAGAGGTTACTGCCCGTGCATCCCACTTGGGTAATAGCCTAATCCCTCTGCTATCACCACAGATCCCTCAAATATTTTCTAATAATTTAAGTTGTACAACAAATGTCACACTGCAAGCTTCTTAGCCCAAGCCCACAGTAGAATTCGAGTCACAAACTCTAACATAGACTAACCTTTTAGTCACAAATTTTGAAGCGCAAATGAGCAAGATAATCAAGTAAAGATTATAATGAGTCAGACCAAAATTGATTATAACTAAACAGAACATTAGAAGGTATCTAACATCAAAATGGTATTTAAAAAATGGATAATAAGTTATAACAAAAAAAATCATCTACCATAATTTCATCAATCATAATAATATGACGTATATATCATTAAGAATAATCTGCATGAATTAAAGGCCTTCAATAGTTTGGATATCATTAATATATACAACTAAGAAAATACACATGTGACAAAAGATTATTAAAACTATGTAATAAGTTTTAAGAGAAATGAGTAGATAGAAAACATTGGAATGAACGGTTGTTAACATCAACATTATAATGGATCTGAAAATCGTACATTCAAATTGTCAAACATGACATATCAACCTACAAGCATAAAAGCTTATCAAAGAAGAAGAAGGAAACAAAACATTTCATATTGACACTAAAACAACAATATATTGTAAACAAATAAAATGGTTTAACCTATTGGTCTATGCATATGTATTAATCACTAGTTAATTTCTTTTATTCTATTTTTAGTTTTTTGATTTTGATAGACCAGTTCAATATTATAAACTTGGTCTATCTAATTAGCATAAATAAATCTCTATCATAAGGAAAGGGTTATGGAATGAAAAAGTATGGTTTATTGCTTTCCCCTCTTCTTCTCTTGTAGTATACACCTACTCTAAAGGTGTCTTTCCTTCTTGGATGACAAGAAGCTTAAAAAATGGCACTTCTACCTTTCAAGCCTTAATGAATCAAATCTTTCATTCGTATCTCCGCAAATTTGTTATCATCTATTTTTAAGACATTCTTATATACAACCTTACAGATCTTTATTTTGACCATCATCAATTGGTTTTTTAATGTTTACAAACAAATCACTTATTTCTCAAACTAAACAAATGTCATTTTTGTCCATTGTCTCCTTTAATTCTGTTCAACCTGATCCAAATAAAATTAAGGTCCTGTCCACTTGGACAGTTCCTTCTTCCCTACTCCAACTACAATCTTTTTTAGGATTAGCAAGATATTATAGACGGTTTATATCAAATTATAGTTGCATTGATTCTCCTTTAACCAATCTTCTCAAGAAAGATTCCTTTAAATGGGACGCCGCAACTTCCACTTATTTTCACAATCTCAAACTCGCGATGACAACTGCTCCACTCTTAGCCTTACCAGATTTTACCAAAAAAAAAAAAAATTATTGAAATTGATACTTCAAATGTTGGCATTGGCACAGTTTATTACAGAATAATCATCCCATATCCTTTTCAAGTAAAAAATTAAATAGTAAGCTATCTACATCTCCCATTTATCTAAATGAGTTATATGCTATTACTGAAGCTATTTCTAAATGGCATGAATATTTATTAAACAATAAATTTATAATCCATACTGATCAAAAAAGTTTACGTGAACTATAAACTCAAGTTATTCAAACCCCTGATCAACAATACAATCTTCACAAGCTTTTAGGATTTTATTTCACTATTGAATATAAATCGGACAAAATAAATATTGTTATCAATTCGTTATGTAGATAACCCGAAGATTCTACACTTCAGCTGCCTTTCCTTGCTTTAACAAATTTTATTTTTCTCTAATAAATGATTTAAAGTAAGAATCTCTTCATTTTCTAGATATTCTTCATATAGCTTCCCAACTTGCTGACAATAAAGTAGAGCTTAATACATATGCATAGAGAAATTGGTTAAACCATTTTATTTGTTCATGTCTTCATGATACATTGTTGTTGTAGTGTTAATGTGAAATGTTTTGTTTCCTCGTCTTTAGTAGACTTTTATGCTTGTAGGTTGATTTGTCAAGTTTGTAGCCCACGCTTCACAGTTTTTATATACAATTTTCTGATCCAATATAATGTGTTCAAGTTTAACAACAGTACAGCCTCTAGAAGTGCTAAAGCATAACGACTGTTACTTTAGAAAGTCATAGAAAGACTGAAAGACAACATACCAAGACCATGATTACGTCAGGTGGACTTAAAATTTAAAGAATTGTTTCAGCTGGGTAGGTCATCAGCTTAGGAGGAAGACGGTACTTGCTAATTTGCAAAAACGTAAACAAAAGTATCAGGTCATGAAGGCACAATAAATCATGAAACCTGCTACCTTCTGATCAAACAACCTATGATGTCACAAAACATCAAAGGGTTATGCTGATAGTGAAAACGCCAAAGAATTAATCATGATTCAGGTATTCAATATTTCAAGTAGGATTTATGTTTTGAACAAGGTTAACAAGATCCTAAAAACAAATCAATCCTTCTATTTGATGTAAAATATAAGATTCAAGTCAATGCGAAATTTCAATACGTTTAACACGTTACGAAATACTTACTATACCTTAATCAGACCAGCTAGACAGTGCACATCAATGCCATGTGGAACAACACCCTTGTTTAGTTGCTCTCTGACAAACATTTCTTGCCCATTCTCTGCATTAATTCTGAAGACCCCTTCTGCCTAGAAAAACACCAGTCATAGTTTATTACATGCATATTCTAAGAAATAACATCTCCAACATTCAGCAGATATAAAGAGATAGGCGGAACTACCTTAAGGCCACCTTGTGAATACAGGTGTCTTTGCATGGAGAGCAAAATAGTTGGCACACTGTTACCTCTACTGTCATGGGAACATTGCATAGATTCAGCAGAAACTCCAAATACACTGACACTGTAATGAAAAAGACAAACCAAATGAAAAAAGATTAAATAAAAGTCATTTGATATTGAAAAGACATTAAATAAACCAGTTGACACATACAGTTGCATGATGGCTAGCCCTTATGCTTAACTCTTCTTAGTGTAAAACTCATTATGAATCTATATGAAAGCAGTTATGATGGAGATCCAAGTCAGTATTCATTGGAAATAAATCTTTTGTATTGAGACGAGTAAATAAGCAATCTAAACACTGCTTTCATTTTAGTTATTTTATTCTGCAATTTTCTATTTAGTAGTTTATGTTTTCAATTTTTAAGTCATTTACGTAAGCATGCATATGATGATGATTTCTCTAATGTATGTATCGGTTTCCTTTAGACAATTCAATTCTCTTTATCTCTGGATAATTTCTTTCTGGTCTATTCAGCCATTGGTTTGGAATTTTGGACTTCCATGGGTCGTGCATTGGCTCTCTGACAAATGTATTTGGCCCTTTAAGTTGGCCTATTAATAGTGTTCTCGGTTTAGCTTGTTCAACCATGGGATTGTTGTTTTTGTTCAGTTCTTCTTCCAGCTGGTTTGTTCCTGTAATAGCTTTTCAAATGTGATCCGATTGCCACTCGCATGCCTATCTTCATGCGACTTGTTCATGAATCCCATCATTAGCCAAGCGGCACACAATTCCTTCACATCTAGATCCTCATCACATGCGAGATTTTCATCTGGCAGGCAACTTTAGTGCACAACTCATGGATTGACCGCCTGAAACCCACTTCTGAGTCTGCCTACATCTTAATCCACGACCGAGTTTTACCATATCTGGACTATTGATTTCTTTAAAGATTATTTTGTAATTATATATATAGACATCTGAGGCATTAATAATAATATTTTTCATCTTACTAAAATTTTCAGTTTTTTTCAGTTTTGTGTGATTAGATGCTAAATCCGTCAAGGGTTGAGCAAATGTTACCTATAAATTTTCAAAGAAAATAATCTCCTTGTACCAATATGAGGAGATTTTATTTCGGTGATTTCTTTCCTCGTACTTTTATATCTACATGATTTGAGAATAATTTTGTAAGAGCAATTGATTTAAATCAAAACTGCTATAAATAAGATTTCTAATTGTAGAGTAGATTTTACTTGACACATGATCTTTTTAATTGTTTTAGCTTTCTTAAAAGATTTCATGTATGAATACCGATGAAATGTGAAAATTAAGTGCAAGTGGATTTCTTATGACAAACATTTTGTGATGCATCTAAAATTGTATGCGAACATGGATTCACAATTGTGTAAGTAATAACTTTGAAGCAAGTACATACTAAAACCCTAGAAAATCATGTTTTACTAATATTTTATTTCTTCTTTATTAGTTATTATTGATACGTCATGCAAAAATTATCTTGATCGGGCACGAATCTCGAGGCAAAAGCTAGTTGAAAACTTCAAAAATTAATTT